ATGGGTAATAGGGTTGCAAGTAACAATGTTGAAAATGTAGCTTAATCCGTCACTTGTTGATCTTAACTAGTTTGGTGCCAAATTGTGGTTTCTTGTTTATTTTTGGTCATTCATTGGTCAGTAACTTGGATAACAGGGTTAGACTTGATGCAGTCAATACTACAATTTGTGTACAAATTGAGAAAATACAATGAGTTTATGTAATTGTCTTCCTGCCATGCTGTAAAAAGGTTCCAACTGATGTGATTTCTTGGGTGTCACTATTTTAAGAAATCTTCAATTTCCATTTCGATAGATAGATAGATAGATAGATAGATAGATAGATAGATATTCCCCTACATTCTCCACCTAGATTCCATTTGACTAGATGTTACACCATGATGAAACATAATTTTTTAAATTCCTATCGTCACCATATTTGGAACAAATGACCGTCAGACCATGAAAATTATTTAAAAGGTTCTTAATATTCAAAACTGCTTTTCTGTAACACTAACAAATTTGACTTTGAAGATCCAGTCTTAGTTATTAGCCCTGAAAGCTAACAAGTTGTAAATAATTTAATCTGCTCAACCATATTTTCCTAATGTATTTTCTCAAGGTTACTTAGGCCTTATAATGAACCTCTGTAAATGCTTGAATTATATATAGACTCTTTATTGCCACACAATGCGCTTGTAGAAATGAAGGTCTTTTGGTTATGTTTATATCTGTGACAAGCTATTAGCTTCTTTTTCAAGCTCTCAAGGAAACTGTAGGGATGTATATCAGATAAAGAGATCAAGCTGCTTTTGTGTCCAATTTTCCACATTAATGGTCCCAGTGTTGGCCGCAGATGCTGGACTAATTAAAGGATTAAAGGAGTCGCCTCATTCACTGCCCTGATTGGTCACACCTGGGCTCTTTTCCACAATAGTGCCATTACAGCCTGTGTCCCAGGTGACACTAGTCTACATGTGTGTGTGCAAATGTATATTTCCACTACAAAAGGGGCAGCCTGTCAGCATTCACCTCTAAACAATGAATGTAACCCTTCTTTGCATGCGCAAATTGTAGTCTTTATGCATTTTATATCCATTTTTTGAGGTTTCAGTTTATTCACGCCTGTGTGCTGGTGTCCAAAAAGTGCCTACATTAATCTCATGACTGTCAGGGACAAACTATTGAGATATTAATTAGATCATCTAGCTGACTTTTCTTTAATCAGTGCTGTTGCATCACTTCCTTTTGAAATGCACAAACTGAATTATCAAAAATCTTCACTTATTTAAGCCTCACCTTGTCCACCTCTTTTCATACCCATTAATGTATTTCTTACCATATCATATTTCCTCTCTGTCCAACCCACATGAAATATAAATACATTTAAAAAAAATTAATAATATAATATAATATCAGAATGGGTAACAGTGTTGAAAATATCTAAAATAAGCTAGTTTGGAGTCATATGTTGGCTTGTAGTTTAGCATAAATTAAGAAAATATTTTTTAGGTACTTTACTTAAATAACATTACAATAACAAAAACGTTGGTAACAGCTGGTAACAGGGTTGACAATTCATTTGTAATTGCAGTTGATTTATTTACTCATTGACATTTATTTAAAATAGTAATGTTATAATTAATATTTCACTTGTGATTAACAATTCCTCTCTCTTCTTTCTTTTAAAGGGACTTGAACTCAAACAACCTCACACATATTGGCAAGGATGACTTCGCTGGCCTTAAGCACCTCCGAATTTTGTGAGCTTTAATTCATTTATTTCGTCACATCAATCTTATTTCGGTTGTATTTTGTAATGTATAGAGATTCATGCATTTAAATAGACATTTATATATGCCACAACTACAGCCAGGATGCAGCCAAGAGCACATTTTAACATGTAAACAACAATTAACAAGCAAACAGTTTTATTGTATTTTAATTACAGTTTGTATGCTGTTAGAGGATGGAATGTGTGGCCGTTCTTCACACTCCACATCCTCCACTTTGTGTTGAATGTTGGTTTCTTTTTAAATTTCACTGTGCATTACTTTATCAATCTATACAGGCACCTCATGGATAACCAGATCGTCACTATTGACAGAGGAGCCTTCAATGATCTGAAGGAGTTGGACAGACTGTGAGTTTAGAGAAACATATTAATTCTCTCTATAATACAGTATTCTGTTTTGAAGGCTTTAACACTGTAAAGCCTGACATATGAAATGATAGTCATATGATAGTCATTTGAAATGGAGTAGTTTATTGAACCTTAAGACAAAATCTAAAATCAAAAGTCTCTCTCTCTCTCTCTCTCTCTCTCTCTCTATATATATATATATATATATATATATACAGTAATCAACATTTGAAGTGGATCAAAACCTTTCATCAAAGTTGTCCCAAAACCTAAAACCAAAATGCATTCTTGTCTTAGGACAACTTTGATTCACTTTTTTGATCCACTTCAAATGCTGACTACTGTATATATATCAGAATGGGTAACAGGGTTGAAAATGTCTAAACTAAGCTTGTTTGAGCCAAATGTTGGCTTGTAGTTTACCATAAATTAAGAAAATGTTTGTTAGATACTTACTATAAATGTACAATAACAATAACATTGCTAACAGGGTTGACTACAATATGTGTAACTAGTTAGAAACTGGCACAAAATTATTTCCTTAAGCATGTTGGGACAATAATTATATTTGATGGATCAGACTTTTATGGCTTATAC